GGAGTTCTATTTTTATAGTAAAAAGTATATCATATCTATTTATCTAGCTGTATAGATAATATATACACACACATATATATATATATATATATATATAAGTAGGGGAAAAGGACTTTTACTCTTCTTGCTCTTTTTTTCCTCTAATGGAGATGGTAATGATGTAGAGTGTGTTCCCGCCGAGATGGGAGCTTGAGCGCATAAACACAGACGGAAAAAGAATATAAACAGATTCGACACGGCCAATGGTAAAAACAACAACAAAAAGATGGGGTAGATTTTTATTTGTTATGCTATATCTGTGTCTATAGTATATTATATTATGCTATATATGTATATATATATATATATATATATAGACTCTAGACGATTCCATGATACCGTTTACTGTACGTAATCGCAAGTTAGTTTTATGCCCAATTCACTCTTTCTTTTTTCTATTTGTTTATATTTGGTCGAGTATTTTTCTCATCACCCATACACATTCTTTTTGTTTTTTTTTCTGCCCAGAAATTTTGTTATGACGCTGATGATTTTAACTTAATTCTTAAAAAAAACTATCTCCACTGTAATTATCAGATACTTTTTCTCACGTTTATGTTTAATTTTGCTTTACTAATTTGATTCGCTTGGTTTGGATGTCTCCAAAGGAAAGACGCTTTTGGGGGTTTTGAGTTATCACTTCTGATATATGAAATACCTTGTTTGCTTATTCAAATGATTTGATGATGTATGGATGATCGCTATTTTTCTTGCTTGCTTAGCGGTAACTATCGAAAACTTGTATGCCTGACTACAAATGTGGGTTGTTCTTGGGTGTTTGGCGGAGGTGTCCGTCCCATTTGGAGTGTTTGTGATATTAAGTCCTGAGAATATGCGAATGAAAACGCGAGTTAAACTAAAATAATTCTATCGCCTTTAAATATTTCTCTGACCTTGTGAGTATATAATATTCAATTTAATTATAATGAAGGAAAAGATACATGAAAATGGGGGTATCATGATGTATACCATAGAACTCCAATCCAATGATATGGGTCTTATCAACTGATCGGGGTTGGGATAATGTTCTCTTCATCCCGCCTTTACTTTTCTTCCTTGTATCTTGAATCTCGAATCGGCGTTGGCGCGACAAATGTAGTGCGAAACGATTAAGCTATTGATGTGATTTGATTAATAGCGTCAACTCTTCAGACTCGTAGAAATAATACCACTATCCAAGATCATGCTTTGTGCGGCGCTCGCGGGATCCATCGCACGGGTTATTAGCCATCCCTTGGAGACCATCAAAACGGTCGCGTTTACGGGCTTTGCGGGGAACGGGCCGACCCCTACCGGGCAGGGCGGGATTCCTCACGCGGCCACCCCCTTCCCACCGCATTCGCGTGCGACGCCTCTCCCTCGCGTTACTTTTTTCTCCTCGGCAAAGGATATTTGGCGGCGGGAGGGGGTCGCGGGGTTTTATCGCGGCGTCGGCATCTCCGCGATCGGGGCGGCCCCCGCGATGGGGTTGTATTTATCTAGCTACGACTGGTGCAGCGCGCGGTGGCGGGCGCTGGGGGAGAGGCCCGCTCCTTCTTCTTCTTCTTCGGACGTCGTTTGGAGCCCCTGGGAGCGGGCGATTCGCACCGTCGCGGCGAATACCCCCTCCGCGGTCACCTCCCTCACCTGTGGGTTTCTCGCGGAGGCGGCGAGCTGCGTCGTGTGGGTGCCCATGGACGTCTCAAAGGAGCGTTTGCAATCGCAACCCCCAAGTCTAGAGGGGCGGTATCGAAATAGCTGGGACGCGCTCCGGACGATTGCCCGCTATGAAGGGGTGTATGGGCTTTATCGCGGGTATGGCTCGACGTTGTGGAGCTTTGGTCCATTTTCCGCGGTTTACTTTTTCAGCTATGAGATTTTTAGTGATCTTTTGACGAAGCTCTGCTACACGAATGGCGCCCCGACGCATCTGGATAATGATCCTAACAACACCGATCAAAGAACGCGTATCCTCATCGCGCTTGGCGCCGGAGCGGGGGGCAACATTATGGCTTCTTTAACAACCAACCCCCTCGAGTTCGTCAAGACACGTTTGCAGGTGCAAAGGGCGATTTTAAAAGGCAACAAGAGTCCCTATTATAAGTATCAATATCGTGGTCTTTATGATGGTTTGGTGACGGCTATCAAGGAGGAGGGGGTGCGAGGACTTTGGAGGGGGGTGGGATGCCGGATGGCGCATGCAGCACCCAACGCCGCCTTGGCCATGGCATTTTATGAATACTTTAAGGTAAAAATGGGAAAAGCCTAAGTTTTTTTTTTGCAACTTCATTGAAAATGAATAGATCGAATTGTCACGATTGTGTTTCCCTGGTAGTAATTTCATTATTATTATATTCTGTTTTTATTTTATTCCTTTAACAACAGTGCTAAGTGTGTTAAATGCATACTAAAAATTTATACCCAACCATTCCCTCAATTCTGGAGAATTGTCCGAAAAGCAATACTTGTATCTTAGCGTAAAGAGTTCAGAGGGGGTCTCTAAATTTTTGACTCTGATGTCATAAGCGACATCATTCTTTAGACGTTGTCGAGTATCTAATTTGTGAAATGAAGAATACAGACAGGCGTTGGAGGATGAGTAATGAAAATGTGATATCAATAATTCTGATTTGGTCTTCGGAGTTTATTATAATTCTTAAAGGGAAAAGGCGAAGAAACGTAATCATTTTGAAATTATACATACCACTTTTATCTTTAGATTTTTCAAGTCCAAGGAATACATTCAAAGTCTCGCTACCTTCTGATGTCGAATCCGTTAGAGTCTTTGTTTGGACTGTTCCCCCAACTTCGGGATCGAAGCTCAGATACCTCCATCAATATCTCGCGGAACATTCCTTTTATATTGCCTCTTAGCCAATTAGGCCTGTCTACAAGTGGCACCTCGGTCTCACAAGGCAATTTCCACCCTCTGAGTACGTCGAACACTGTGTCGGAGAGTGCAGCCCACGGCCACATATACTCGGGAGGGATGCCGGCACCCTTGTGGATCCAACGCGAGCAGCAACTTACTCCGTTTCACTTTCCATCCGCACCCACCTCTCAAAATTTAGACGACACAAAGCTTCGTGAGGATGGTAATAAGGCGTTCAGGGAAGGGCGCTACACTGAAGCGCTTAATTTCTACACCCAAGCCATCGAGCGAAATCCTAACCAAGAGCTCAACTTCTCCAACCGTTCATTTGCACACTTCAAGCTGGGAAATTATGAGGCCTCTGCTAAGGATGCCATGGAAGCGATTCGAATAAACTCAAATTTTTATAAGTCATACTATCGCCTAGGCCTCGCACAGGTTGCGATGGGCGAATTTGCCATGGCATTGGAGAGTTTGAAAAAAGCACTGGAACTGACGCCGGTGAATGAAAAGCAGCCGATTATTGTCGCGATCGCGAAATGTGAATCGAAGCTTGCTCGGGCGCCGACTAGTTCCTCTAATGGTTCGATAAATTTAGATTCGCTGCAGTCACCATTAATGATCAAGTCCGCTGAGGCGGATGGCTACCCTTGTTCGGAACCGCAGGTCGACTACGCTCATCTGCAGAATTGCCTTGCCTCCATCGGGGAGTCCCGCGCGCGTGTAGATTCCTATCAAAAAATGTTCCAAGAGCAAGACGACATCGTGAATTGTAGTTCGCGTGTGCAGAGGGTGAAACACCTTATGAATGTTGCCACCACGCACAAGTTAAGCGAACTTTGCAAGCACGCTCAGGAGATGCAAGAGGAGCTTCGAAACACGCTCAATAGCCAGGATCGAGCTTCATACTACAACGCCAAGCGCAATCGAGATGAGACCTACAAAAACGTGTGGGAAACGGCCTCTGAGGTAGAGAGTGCGATTGCGAAGTTGCGCGCGATAGCGGCCGAGGAGCAAGCCTTTTTCAGGCGCTTTGGGTCTAGAAAAGGGGGCTCACAAGAGGTTACTACCACCGAATCTACGGACGACTATTTTTCATCCAAATCGTCATCTCCGCTGACGTCGCAGCATCCTTTTCCCACCTCCACTTTCCCATCCTCTCCTCAGGCCGCAGGACACGAGGCGGGTCATTTTGAGGATCTCCTCCGGCGGAGGTTGACGATCAACGAAAATGTGCGAAAGGTGCAGCGATGCTTCGCCGCCACCGATTCCGCAGGCCGCGCCTTTCAACAGGCATTGGAAAAAGAGGCGGCCGAGATGAAGCGTATTCTCCCTTTACTGGAAGAGGCGTCGAGCCTGAACCTCGAGCTCGAAGAGCAGGCTCGACATGTCGCTCATTTTGCGACCCGTGAGCTCTCGGCTAGTCGATTGGAGGCGCTGGACCAGATGAGCGCGATGGTTCAACGCGTGAAACTCGATGAGGGCTCATTCAAGGCGACGCTCGAGGAGGGCAATCATCTCTTAGAGGAGGAAGCCCAGCTCGAGAAGGAGCGTCTGATGCTGGAACGGCAGCGGATTCAACTCCAGGCGGAGGTCGAGTGGTTGAAGGTGCAGGACGAGCCGGAGAATCGGGTTTTGGTCTTGCAGAACCACATCAAGGCCGTCCAGCAGCGCATTGCCGACATTCACACACGACAAAATGAGGTTCAGAAGCGTATTTTCGAACTGGTCCAGACGGATCATCCGGAGCTTGTGTGGAAGTCCATCGCCTCCAGCTCACGCATCTTGCGCCTTATTAAAGGTAGCGGCCTCTGGTTGAACGTGTCGTTTTCGGACTTCCAGATCGTATCAACCCTGTCGTCGACCGTGAATAGCAAGGTCTACCATGCCGTGCGGCGCGGCGACCACTTTGCTTTAAAGGAGATCGCTGTCGACGATGAGAAAGTTCGCCGGCAGTTTCAACGGGAGGTGAACATCGTGGCCTCTTGCTCGCATCCAAATATTGTTCGAGTCAAAGGGGTGTTCTTCGATGGTCCATTCGCGTATATTCTTCTTCCCTATTACCATCGTGGGAGCCTCAAGGCACTCCTCGCTAAAAAAGAGCCGATCCCATGGGGGGAGGTGCAGAGCATCTTCCGGCAGCTTGCTACCGGTCTCTCATATCTGCATGAGCGGGGGATCTGCCATGCGGATATCAAGCCGTCGAACATCCTGATGTCCGATAGCGGTAGCCCCATGATTTCCGATTTTGGCATCGCCAGGGATAATGGACCACTCGGGGAGACCTTTGATATCACGGTAACGAACAGCTCCTCAAATATGCAAAACGTCCTGGGGACGATGCAGTACATGGCGCCCGAGCAGCTCCTCGGTGAGCGCAGGGGCGCAACGAGTAAGAGCGATATTTGGGCGCTCGGCGTTACCTCTTATGAGGTGGCGGCGTTTAACGCCTTCTTTCACGACGCGTCGGTCGGGGAACCGAGCCTCCCCCTCATTCCGTCGAGCGGCGGCACCGTGGAGATCTCCGCGCGACGCGTCGGGGGGGATGAAAAACTCGCCGATTTGATCATGTTTGCGCTGACAGTAGATGTGAACAGGCGGGCGACCGCCTACGAGCTGCTCGCGCATCCGTATTTTAGCTCCTCGATGAGCTCCCTTTACTGCAACGGCAGCAGCGCGACTCTCGCGAAGAGCGATGAGCGGATTGACGCGGTGCGCTCCTACATTCACGCGATTCGCGCGACGCACTCGCAAAAGACGCTCGTGTCCGTCTCGAGGAATCAAATGGTGGAATCGCTCACGAATATCATTGAGCGATTTGACGAGGAGGATATGATGGCGCCGATCATGGTCGTGTTTCAGGGCGAATCTGGCATCGACGAGGGCGCTCTCACGACGGAGATGTTGACGTTGTATTACGAGCAACTTGTTAAAAGAGAGAAAGCGCTCGTGTGCTCGATAAGCGACGAGGAGGAGTCATCGAGGGATCCGGACGTGGGTATCGTGACGGGGGTGACTTATATACCCGCTGAGGATGATAAAAACATACGAACCAGCGTATTTGAATTACTTGGAAAGGTGCTGTTGAAGAGCATCGTCGAGAACCGCCCGTTGCCACTTCAGCTTAACCTCTCCGTTCTCAAATACTTCTGTGGTGCGTCCATCTCCATGTTGGACTTGGAGGAGTATGACCGAGTTTTGGCGGAGTCGCTTAAACGTCTGCGCTTGCTTTCTGCGGAAGACCTGGAAATGGCGGAGCTGAAGTTTTCAACCTTTACCGCAACCTTCTTGTCTAACCACTTCGATGGAAAGTACATACGGGAGACCGCCGTAACAACCGAAAATGTGCGCGACTATGTCGAACTTAGGGTTCAATTCGACCTCATTGAGCGACGAAAACGTGCCTTGGCAGCGATGAAGAAGGGTTTCTACAGTGTTCACTCCATCGAACCGCATCTCAAGCTGCTCTCTCCATCAGACCTCGTACTGCTATTGTGCGGCGTTCAACACGTCTCCGCCCAAGCAATCGTCGACTCGCTCGAGTTTCATGGGTTTGATAGCACATCCAAAACCCCAACTTATTTGAAGGAGTTTCTTCTAGAAACTTCACAAAACAATTTGCGACGCTTTTTACAGTTTTGCACTTCCTCAGCTGCGATGCCCGCAAATAACAGTCTGAGGAAGATCAAGGTGATCAAGGCCTCGGACCCCCGTCGCTTACCGGTAGGTCATGGATGTGTGCATCAACTAGACCTTATGGACTACAATGACAAAGATGTATTAAAGGAGAAGCTTGAAATTGCGTTAGCCCACGTAAGTGATGGTTTCCATATTGTGTAACCCAACCAAAATCATCATGTATAAAACTGTAGAATGTGAAATCAATATTTTGGAGGCAAAGTTTCATATGGAAAGTAAAAATTTTGAGAAATCACTCTCTATTATTTGCATATTGTAATTGTCTTATTGATAGGTTAAAGTTATGAGTAATTTTTAAAAAAGAAGCATAAAGTAGTACAAGTGTTTTTTTTTTCAATAAGAATCGCCACATATCTCCCGGTAATAAAAAAAGTAGGAAAGTTAATATAGTTATTATAAACGTTCGCGATATCAGTATGAATCACTTCAGGAAGAGTTACAAATTTGAATGAATGTACTTTATATTTTCTGAAAGTGCTTTCTTTATTGCCTTTTTTCCTATCAGTTTTTGAAATTCAGAGTTTACAAGTGGAGGTTTTATGATAAATATTACTCGATATTATTAATAATATTAGACATTGACATATACTAATTCAAACTTTTGCACAACAAAGAGGTGAGGATCAACCTAGCGTGTCGTTTGGGAGCAGCAACGTTAATTTTCGCGTAGTAGGAGCTTATGTGGAATGCCGCTGCTCTGTGGAAATGACTCAGATTCATTAGTTCCCGAAACATCTAAGTTTACGTTGCCGGATACAAGCTCGTGGAAGCTAAATAA